TTATATATATATCAGTTGGCCAATTAATTTCTTTCTATTTATAGTAGAGACGGGGTCTCGCTCTTGCTCAGACTGGTTTTGAACTCCTGACCTTGAGCAATCCGCCCACCTCGGCCTCCCAAGAGCTAGGATTACAGGCGTGAGCCACAGCGCCCGGCCTATATTTTTTGATATTTAGAAGTACTTATGGCTTATTCCATTTCTTTTTTGCTTAGAATAAGTCCTCCTGTGTCCTGAGATCTGATGAAAATATTCTCTGTTTTTTGGCTTCATTTTTTACCGGTGACTCTTTCATTACATCTGGAATTAATTTTGATTTGAGGTGACGTTTTCTTTCTGTGTCCTAGGAGTTAAACAATTGTACCAGCCCCATTGGTTGAACAATGTTTTCTTTTTTTAAGCTAGTGATTTGTGATGACAATATATATTTATTTTTAATGGTAGTTAAAAGATCTGGTTATTTGAATTGTGATTTTTAGGTTCATGAATTCTCACTACCATTTATACAACGTATGTCTTTACTCATTATGTTGTTTTCAGTAGTAGCTCTTTTTTATGGTTTTGGGTGTTTTTTTTTTGCATGTGCAATTTTATTGCAGATTACAAGCTGACTTTATGTGAGTCATGTTTAACCTATAAACATAAATTTTGTTTGGCTTACTCATGTTGTTGAAATAAAAAAAAACTTGTTGCCACCATTTAAAAATCACTGGGTTTTCAGCTGTTCCAGAAAAATCAGAAGACACAGCCTGTGTACTGAGCCCGTATTCCCACATGGCAAAGCCTGCTGGAACTGAGTGATGGCTGCCTTCCCTATGGAGCAAACGGGGGCTATCTGGTTTGCCATGGCCCAAGCACTCGTCATTGCCTTTCTCTGCCACCTTGCCCCACTCATTAGATTACTGCCTGGCCCAGACTTACTTGAGTTTGTAATGTCTGATTTATAAGAAGAACTTTCACATGGTATTCAACTTGATCTTGATGGAACTATTTGGATTATGCTGCTGAATTTATATTATATATAATATTATATAATTCCTGTAATGCAGTGTTTGTGGGGTGGGGGGGGAGGAGAAAAACTCCATTCTTTATTGAATGCTACTTGAATAGTCTCCTTTAAAATATGTATTATTTCAGCACAAGAAATCATATGAGCACAAAGAAACAGAATAATATTCTGTAATGACATTAAGAACAAATGCAAGAAGAAATAATTATCTAAGTCTTAAGATCCAAAAATAAAACACAGCGCCATTTGTATAATGCCATACCACTTATGAAAAAATGTATTTCTATTCTAAAATTGGTAGGTGTGATGTTGTTTCTTGGCTAAATTCTTTATTCACAAAGCCTTGATGTCTCTCCACTTTCTCTCCTGCCCAAGTTTACCCACATGTTAATTTACATACACACATTGCTGTGTGTGCCGGGTGTTTTGACTGCTGATTTCCGCATCACTCCTTCCTTTGTGCCTTTCTGTGATTCAGATGAAATCAAATAAGGGAGTAAAAATGTTTTCCGTATACCTGGTAAGCGCTAGTCTGGAAAGAGAGTGAACGTTTCTTATTGCGTGATCTTGCTTTGCAGCAGTCTGTGGTCAGTGCACAGGCACGACTTCCATTCCTGCTTTGTTTAAACCTGAGAAAGCAATGCTGAGAGAATGCTGAGACCCTGGTACAAAGTCACAGAGTAATAGTAGCCAGGGCGAGAACTTGAGTCTTCAGGCACCTGATTCAATGTGCATTCCACAATACCAACTTTTTACAACAGTGGGCATTTTTAGGTATTGGGCATGTATTTTTTTTATAGTTTATTTTCTGTTAGTCATTAAAATAGTTGAAGAGCCTAATAATGAAAAGCAGAAAAGAGAGTAACCATGTAATACTAATGCTCTAGATTTTTATAAAATAGTTGTAAATTAAGAAAAATTTCGGGCATAGAGAAAAATACAAACCTTTTGTTTTAACAAAACAGTGACTGCTAAGTGAAAGAGGTTAAAATAAAACTGCCTACTTTTTTTTGGTTACTTTCTTACACATAGGTGAACCATAGGATCACAGAATTTTAGGATCTAAGAATCCTAAAATTTTTTGGGTCTAAGAATAAGCAAGTACAAAAAAATCCCTGATCTTTTTGATAAGAAAACTTAGGTTCTGTGTTGTCAGGTGGTCTTTTGTGAAGTTGTATAGCTAGTTGGTAATTAGACTTGGAGTAGAAACGCCACTTGCTGAGTCTCTTCTCCATCAATGTGGGGATTAATTTAAGGTCTCTAGATGAGCTGGTAGAGGACATACTATCCTAGGTTCCCAAAACAGCTTTTCGTGGTCACATGTAATGGGGGTGGGGGGAAGATAAATATAAACAAATAGAGAATTAACATGCTTCCTTTAATCTCTTTGCCTGATAGGAAAAAAATCATACCAGGAAAGGCTGGAATAACTCATTATTTCTGCTTTAGAAAAATGGGAAAGAAAATGTTCCTTTTCAGGGATATGGAGAGTTAGGAAGAGTTTGAAGTTAATGGAAAACATTTGACAGCATGAGGACATAGTGTGTTCTCACTGACACTCAGAAATATTTATTAAATATTTACCACCCTGGCATGCAGCATTGGGGGGATAAGTCTGCTCTGCATTTAAAAATTTGGCTTTGTTTTCTTAAAAAGCTTCTATAGCAAAAGGGAAGCATATATGTACTATTTCTAGGCAGGACTGGAGAAATGTTTGTGATGTTAACCAAAGGATCTCAGTAGTATTATAGTACATCATTATTATTATAGGCCCTGTTGACTGACTGATACACATTCTAAATAGTGTTACAGAAGTCAGCTGAGCATGGTGGCTCACACCTGTTATCCTTAGCACTCTGGGAGGTGGAGGCAGGAGGATAGTTTGAGGTCAGGAGTTTGAGATTGTAGTGAGCTATGATGATGCCTCTGCACTCTAGCCAGGGCAACAAAGCAAGACTCTGTCTCCAAAAAAAGAAAGAAAGGAAGATATCACTGGTAAGTTTTGGGAAAGTACATGACATTTCTGGTCAGAGGATCTTATTGTTATACAAGTTGAGCATCCCTAATCTGAAAACCTGAAATCCACAATACTCTGAAACTTTGATCTCTGACATGATACTGCAAGTGGAAAATTCCACACATGACCCCTTGCTTTCTTGATGGTTCAGTGCACAAAGCACATAAGCTTTGTTTCATGTATAAAATTATTAAAATATTTAAAATTACTTTCAGGTTATGTGTATAAGGTGTATATGAAACATAAAAGAATTTCATGTTCAGACTTGGGTCCCATCCCCAAGACATCTCATTATGTATATGCAGATATTTAAAATAAATTGGAAACCTTGACCACTTCTGGTTGCAAGCATTTTGGACAAAGGATACTAAGTCCATATTCATGGTGGACCATTAGGGAAAAATATCTTTCCCAAGATATTTTTTCTAACAGTAAATATGTATTATGAATTTTTTTATCTAGAAAAAACTTAATACATTTTAAATGAATTCCATTTCTATGCCAAAATCTGGAGCAAGTTTGCTTTTTTAAGCTTTATATTCTTTTCATGTTTTTTTTCTTTTCTTTTTGTGAGGGATGAGTGACATAGCACTAATTCTTAACACTGATAAGTATGAAGAGTTGAAAAATAACATAGGCTTGGGAAAAAGTCCATTAAAGAAAAAAAGAAAAGTGTTTCTTCAGTTCTAATGCTATCTTGATGATTAATAAGTAGTAGGCTGGGTATAGATATGTTTTTTAGATAGCTTCATCACATTCAGTGGTATTTTATTTTCAGATATTTTTCATATTTTGAGCTTCCAAGTGTATTGACTATGTACATGCATTTTTTTCTGTTTAATCATAGTTGTCTGTGTTTGGTTTTTTTTTTGTAGGAAGAAAAAAAGAAGTTTGACAAAGAGACAGAAAAGAATTATAGTATAATTGATAAACATTTGAATTTATCAGCGAAAAAGAAAGACTCACATTTACAAGAGGTATTCTTTTTATTTTTGTTTCCAGAATTTAATAAGTAATACATGTCTTTTTTAAAAATGTGCTTTACTTTCGAAAACTTTTCATCTGGCATTATATAGAGATAGAAAAAAAATGAACAGTTACTGTCATAAATCAAGAAAAAAAGTTCTTGTGAAACGAGACACAAAATAATGAATACGTCTTGAAGTGATTGAATATGGAATTCAGTATGGATTTACTGAAGTAAAATTTTTGGTTCTGAATATTTTTTCACAGGAACAATAATTTTAACTAGCATTAGTAAAGAGCAGATATATTAATTTGTGGGAATAGATCCATTAATTGGCTTTCAAGAGTTCTTGAGGAAATGAATTGATTTTAATAAGCTCATATACCATTTTGCTTTTATGTGAAGGCAACATTAATCTTATTTAACGCTGAGGACCCCCGAGGTTCAGCTTCATTGGAAAGAGAGCATCTGTTTTACTTGTGTTAATAGACTCATTTATTTTGGAGGGACATTTTTGTAAGGAGATAGGAATTTATATCTTATCTTTCATTTTCTGTATTTCTCACTAAATCTGCTGCCATTTGTTTTCCTTACATGCTTGAATAGAAACTGAATTGTTGACACTTTGGAGCATATACTTTTATTAAAAATAATGCTGTCTGCAGTTGTTAGGATCTTGTCTCAGTCCACAAAAGTGTGATCCTCCCAACCAATTTATTTGTTTTTAAACACATAAGGAATCTGGGCATAATGTACTACTATGATACACATTTATTGAAGTCTCATCAAAAAGACATGAACAGCATTGACTGTAGTATAAACTTGGGTTATTTTATAAAGTCAGATATTTAGTTGCAAAGGTGTGTGTGTGTGCACGTGTGTGTGTGTGTGGGGCGTTGGTTTAGCATTATTTGCATGTGACATTTTTTTGTCTCCCTAATTCCTTTGACTGACATTTGGATGGCACTTGACAGCTCATAAAAGAGAATGGAGCTTTTATGCCACTTAATCCTCACTACAATACTGTAGGTAGGGCTCCATTTTCTCCTTGTTCCATGTTATGTAGAATACCATGCAATTATTACATCATCCCCTCATCTCCCACCCTCTGTCAATTTTGAAATGACAGCTGTTGCTTTTATAGGTCCCACTCTTCATGCAAGCAGTTTCCTACCGCTGCTCTCTTTTGTCTCTATTTTCAGGTATCCTAAAGAGAATTTCCAATTCCCCAAGTAAATTTCCATCTCAGCTTCACTCTCTAATTAGGTATCTCATTTTAAGCATTGCTTGCACAAAATCTTTGGAGTCATCTGGTCCATTAGCATAGGTTTTCTTTAGCTCCAAAAAATGGTCAGAATGTGCTACTTCTCATGACCTCCTCTTCTCCATGCCCTCCTGATGGCTACCTCACGAGGCCCCGGGACCCACAAGTTGCTATGTAACTCACCCCACTTGGGGCCAACATACTCCGTGCTAAGGGCCTTTGTGTGTGTTCTTCCTTCTGCCTAGTATGTTCTTAACCCAGATCCCACAGGCCTTATGCCTTCAGGTATTCTTCCAAATACTCTCTTCTCGGAGGTCAAAGCTTTCCCTGGCCATCTTATTTAGAATATCCCCTTCACTCTGCTTAATTTTTTTCATATTTCTTATAAGCATTTGACATACTACATATTTGTTATATAGCTTCTTCCATTAGAATTTAAGCTCCTTAAAGGCAACAATATCATTTTATTCAGTGCTCTATCCCCAATGCCTAGAACAGTACCTGTCAGGGAATAGGTACTTAATATATATTTGCCTAACAATAATATATATTTGTCTAACAATTCCCACTTGAAACAGCCTCCTTCTGTAAGAGTGAAGGCTTTAAAAGGGGGAATTGTTTTTAAGGGGGAAAAAGTTAGATTTGGATATTTATTACTTTGGTAGTGGCTAATGTATTGCTAATCTTCAGTGAATTAAGTGCTCAAGTGTGAAGATGCTTGCACAGTGAGCTAGGGCTTCAGCAATTTCATCAATCCCAAAGATAATTAAACTCCAGATCAGAAATTTGGAAAGATCAAATAATTTCAGTTTTATTTAAATTACATATATTTTCCTGTCTTGCTCTGTTTGCTCTTTGCAAACATACAAATTCCCACTTGAAACAGCCTCCTGTAAGAGTGAAGGCTTTAAAAGGGGGAATTGTTTTTAAGGGGGAAAAAGTTAGATTTGGATATTTATTACTTTGGTAGTGGCTAATGTATTGCTAATCTTCAGTGAATTAAGTGCTCAAGAGATTAATAAAGGTTGCTAAGAATAGTACTGAAAAAAGACATAGAAACTTGTATAATTCATTCTCTCCTCTTGGTTCAGTTGAAAATAAGAGGAGACATTGTAGCATACACCATTCTGGCTTTGTTGGTCCGTCAGGACCTGCTGTTGCAGCTCTATGTCTATAGGGCATAGTAGCTTCCACTTTTATCTACATCCCTACATTCTACTTAACATTTGTACTATCACAAGTATTGGATATTTGAGAAAATTCCATTCCTGTTGATTTTTCCTTCCTGTGTAGCCAAGTGATAATATGAGCATGACTACAGAAATAGATTCTTTGAATAACTTTTCATCAGACTGATCCTACTCTCTTATACACATTTATAGCAAGAATGGCCAGAAATTAGAGGATCCATCAAATTGAAACTTTTAAAAACTAATGACTTTTGCTGGGTGTGGGCAGAAGGTTAGTGATTGCCTTTTGGACTTGGTCAGGCTGAAGGAAATCATGTTGTGCCTCTAGGCATGCTGTGGATGTCCCTGGCATTGTAAGTAAGGGCTGTTGAGGATCCCAGGGATTCCAGTGATTTTTCTCATGAAGCACATGGCTCAGCAGTTCTGGATTCTCAGAACATCAAGGGTTTGGTGATAGAGGCTGACCTGCAACCCGAGGGCCACTGCAGTCACAAGAAGAACTGGAAAAGAGACTCCACTAAAAGACAAAACCAGCTCGATAGATCTGGTGTAATTTTCTTGAAGAGCCTTTCCTAGTAATGACATGAAGAAAACACCCTGCTCATGTCTTCATTTTATTAAATACTCAGTGAAATTATAATGTTTTTGCTGGGAGTTGTGCCAGTTAACTGCTGGAGGCTGAACTATCAAACTCTGGTTATTGGAGGCACAAAAATATCATAATTTTGAGGAGTGTTAGGTAGAAATTCTCATTTTAGCTTAGTACTACTCTTATTTAAATATTATTTCACTTAAAGCACTCGATACTAAACATTTATATTACATGTAAAAATTAAATACATTTCCCCCCCAAATTTAACACATTTTTGATGTAAAATATGCATAACATCATTTATGATTTCAACCATTTTAGAGTGTACAGTTCAGCAGCATTGAGTACATTCACATTGTTGTGCAACCATCACCACCATCCATTTCCAGAACTTTTCATCTTCCCAAAATGAAACTCTGTACCTGTTAAATGATAACTTCCCATTTTCCTTTTGTTCCAGCTTCTGCTAATCACCATTCTACTTCTATCTCTGTTAATTTGACTATTATAGGTGTCTCAGATAAGTGGAATCATACAGTATTGGTCTTTTTGTGTTTAACTTATTTCACTTAACATAATGTCCTCAAAGTTCATCCATGTTGTAGCTCATGTCAAAATTTCCTTTTTTTTTTTTTAAGGATGAATAATATTGCATTGTGTGTGTATACCACATTATTTTTATTATTTTTTGAGAGGGTGTTGTTCTGTTGCCTGGGCTAGAGTGCCGTGGCATCAGCCTAGCTCACAGCAACCTCCAACTCCTGGGATCAAGAGATCCTCCTGCCTCAGCCTCCCGAGTAGCTGGGAATACAGGTGCGCACCACCACACCCGGCTAATTTTTTTCCTATTTTTAATAGAGATGGGGTCTTACTCTTGCTCAGGCTGGTCTCAAACTCCTGAGCTCAAGCAATCATCCCGCCTTGGCCTCCCAGAGTGCTAACTAGGATCACAGGCGTGAGGCACTCCGCCCCGGCAAATACAGCATTTGATATTTATTCATTCATCTGTTGATGGATGCTTGGATTGCTTTTACCTTCTGGATATTGTTCATAATGGGTACACAAATATCTGTTTGAGTTCCTGCTTTCAATTCATTGGCTATATATCCAGTAGTTGAATTGCTGGATCATATGGTAATTGTATTTTTAATGTTTTGAGGAAACTTCATTCTGTTTTTCAGTTTCTGCACCATTTTACATTCCCACCAGTAGTGTACAAGGGTTCCAATTTCTTTTCTTTTTTTTTTTTTTTGAGACAGTCTTGCTTTGTTGCCCAGGCTAGCGTGAGTGCCGTGGTGTCAGCCTAGCTCGCAGCAACCTCAAACTCCTGGGCTCAAGCAATCCTCCTGCCTCAGCCTCCTGATAGCTGCACTACAAGCATGCGCCACCATGCCCGGCTAATTTTTTCTATATATGTTAGTTGGCCAATTAATTTCTTTCTATTTATAGTAGAGACGAGGTCTTGTTCTTGCTCTCAGGCTGGTTTCGAACTCCTGACCTCGAGCAATCCGCCTGCCTCAGCCTCCCAGAGTGCTAGGATTACAGGTGTGAGCTACCGTGCCCAGCCTCCAATTTCTTCATATCCTCAGTTATACCTCTTATTTTCTTCTCCTTCCTCCTCCTCCTCTTTTGGATAGGAGCCACCCTAATGGATATGAAGCTGTATCTCATTGTGAGTTTGATTTGCATTTCCCTAATGATTAGCAACCTTGAGCATCTTTTCATGTACTTATTGGCCGTTTGTATATCCTCTCTGGAGAAATGCGTAGATACATACCTTTAAGAGTAAAATTAGCTAAGTTAGGAAAAATACTTGCAGGATGCCTTGTAAGAATAGTTTCTAGGGTGAGAATTCTTTCTCCACTGTTCCTCTGTGGAGTTGTGCTCTTCCCCTAGTTCCTTGCTAGTTAGGCAAGCAAGCTAAGCTAGAGCCTCTTTTTGGATTAATCTCCTGGCCAGCTGGTGCCCCTTCACTCCCAGGGTATCAGACATTGTGAGGGCTGTGACTACCCGCAGATGGGCGGCCAGTCCTGGCCCGCCTTTGAGAGCCAGGTTCTTGAGATGCTGCCATGGTGGCTGCCTCCCCACCTGCTGCCATCACTCCCTAAGTCTCCAGTGACTGGCATTGCTCCAGCCCTCTCTTGCAGGCAGACTTTATTCTTAGAGGATTTGTTCATGGAAATGATGTTTGTGTGATTGTGATTCTATGTATGTGATTCATCCATGTGGGGTGTCAGTCATGGTTGTGGGGAGAGCCTGCTTGATCTTCAATCTTTATGGGTCAGCAAACTTTTTCTGCAAAGAATCTGATAGTAAACATTCTAGGCTTTTGTGGACCGTAAGGTCCCTGTTGCAACTGTTGAATTCTGCTGTCGTAACAGGAAAGTAGCCACAGACAATAAATAAACGAATATGCATGACTATGTTCCAGTGCAACTTTATTTACCAGAAACAGGCCACATGACATATTTGGCCTGAGGACAGTATTTTGCAGACCTCTGATAATGAGTTTCACTTCTCCCTACCTCCAGTTTGACTAACCTCAATTATTTTAACATAGGCAGATATCCAAGTGGAACAAAACCGGCAGCACTTTTATGAACTGTCTCTTGAATATGTATGTAAGCTTCAGGAAATCCAAGAGAGAAAGAAGTTTGAGTTTGTGGAACCTGTGAGTATTCTATCAAGTTGTTTGCTTAGCAGACTTTTGTGATATAATAGAAATATTTTTTCTCTCTAGATCTAATGTATGGTTCTTAGAGGCTGTAGTGCACAAACATTGAAGCAAGACATAAATGGAAAAGGGCAGACACAGCCATGAAATCAAGGCATTGCCTCTAAGTCAGTGGTTCTCAACCATATTTGCACAGCAACATGTAATGAGTATTATTCCTGTTGCTACATGAGCTCAAGGACTGCAACCAGGTGCAATTTCTATCCTCATGGTTGTAACTCCACCCTTTAAAAAATTTATGTTAGACTATAAGTAAAAGGGGATTGTTTATGGGATAGTCTTTACTCAAGGTTTTTTCTGAAGCAAGTATACCAACTTAAAGTTTGGTACTTTAAACAATTATTTGTAATATGGTTTCTAACACCATTTACAATGCTTATGGCAATCTGTGAACCAGTATGTGGAACATTTGAAACAGTTTTGTGAGTTACTTTAGCATTTCTTTATACTTATATGAAAAGCACATGATTTTTTGTTTGTAATTAAATAGATGTTTTTAATTACATTAGATGTTTAAATGTTTAAATAGATGTTTAAATATATATTTATATATGGGCATATTTATAACTATATATCTTATCACAATATAAAGGATATTTCATAACGTGGGTTTTAGCAAAAAAAATTGACAAACACTGGATTTCATGGTCTCAAGATTTATTTTAATTTCAATCTAGACTTTTGTTGTGTGCTATTTTCTTAAAAAGCTTTATTGAGATGTAATTCACATCTTATACACTACCAATTGGGTGTATGATTTTTAGAAACAAAGGAATAACCAAGTAATGATTAATTAAAAATTAGCGTTAATGAAGCTATGGTCTAGTTGGGGTAATAGAATTAATCTAAATTAAACAATTAGAGAAAAATTAAACCTCCTTAAAGCTTTCTTTTTATGTGAAATGGCCTGCATTTATTGGGCATTTACAGTTCTCATTGTTCAAATCATTATTCTAACTATCATACTGTACTCATTCATTCCACACGCTAACTCAATGAGGAGGTATTTTTATTGTCCCACTTAGCAAATAAGGAAACAAAGTAGAGAAAAATCCAGTAATTTGCCCAGAGTCTCCAATAAGCCATTGCTTAAAGCTGGAAACTGACCCTGCTGGGCATTTGATATCAGAGCCCCAAATTCCTAACCATTATTCTTTGTGACATCCTGAAGAAAATGAACTTCAGGATTTCCTTAAGTTCCCCCCCAAATCACTTCTGCTCACTTTAGATTTACTTACATGTGGGGCGGAAGGAGATGCCCTCTAATTAAGAGGAGCAGATTGGGAGTTGGGAGAAAAGGAAGGGTTTAATTATGGGCCTGTGTCTGCTGCCCTGGGCAAGTCACTGAACATCCTCGTCCACCAGACTGAGGTTGCACCTCACAGGATGTCTTGAGCTCTGTAATTCTGTGATTTTACTTTCTTACAGATTGTATCAGCCTATAGTGGTAAGGTTTTAGTGACGAATGAATATTTGGGATTCTCTTGACTAAAGAGGACAAATGGATGACTTAGAATTCCATTTTTTTCCTATAGAGCATGCTAAGAAAATTGACTAATTACTCTGATATTTAAGAAAAAAGCATTGTTTGCCAAAAAGACCAATTAATAAATACTATGGATTTACTTGAATACTAGTGACTTCCTTTTAATTACTTTATTTCAGGGGGATAACAGTGAGATGAAGGGGGAATCACTAGGCTGTTTACATGATTCTTTTTTTCCCTGAGGTGTTTTTTTTTGTGTGTGTGCGCTGACGTCTCTTTTTGTCCTTTGTCTTAGATGCTGTCATTTTTCCAGGGGATGTTTACTTTCTATCATCAGGGCCATGAACTTGCCAAAGACTTCAATCACTACAAAATGGAACTACAGATCAATATTCAGAATGTAAGGAAATGAAAGCTATCTGGTATAAAGCAGATGTTTGAAATGTGTATTTTTCATTTATTCGGTGTGTGAAAAGCCTCAAACTAAGACCAACCTGAGCTGTTGGGACTGAGAAGCTGAGGATATGTTGCCACCTTATGGTCAGTTCTTGGTGTAACAAACTGCATTTCCACTGCTCAGGAAATTCTGCCACCTGGCGGCTTTTCCTGCACTTTCTCGGATTGTTCTAAGGATCGGTTTTGTTAACTCTAAATTAGCTACCGTGTTTCCTTGAAAATAAGACAGGGTCTTATATTTATTTTTCCTCAAGAAGACACCCTAGGGCTTATTTTCAGGGGATGTGTTATTTTTTTTAAGTACAGTACAACAATCTAGATTTATTCAAATATAGTTAAGTTGTCGTCTTTTGGAACATCATCATAACTCTCCAAACCCCAAATTCTATCCTGAATTTCTTGCGACTCTATTTCCTTTAGAACCATTGGCCCCAGTCTCTCATGTTGAGCAATAGAGCTCTCATGGGGCAGATGAGAAGGGCTGCTTATCATCTTGACTGCTACGTGACCAAATGCTCGGGTTGTGCAGATACACTGCGTAGCCACGCCCATCACTAGGTCTTATTTTGGGGGTAGGGCTTATATTGCGCAAATGCTTAGAAATCCTGCTAGGGCTTATTTTATGGGTAGGTCTTATTTTTGGGGAAACACGGTATGTATCAAACAGAAAAAAGAGCTGCCATTTTAGATTTAAGGTATTTAAATTATAATGAACTAAACTTCTTCCTCATTAACTGTGCATCTCTATTTTTATTCCCAGGTAGGCTTATTGTGGAATTTCTTCCCCACATTTTATGCATATTCACTAATGCAGTGCTGTTCATAGTTGCCATTAGTCTTCATTGTTTCCCTTTGGAGAATGTATACTTTCTATCAGGTGTTGGATAAAGAGTTTTAGGAAGATTTTATCTATTAAGCAGTATACTATATGTGATTTTATTCAGGTGGCAGATGTTTTTCTTCCCAATACATTAGGTGATCTCACAAGCGTCCTCCTTGAGGAGCTAGTCAGGTAATGTTTAGTATAATTTGAGGCCTTGTTAGAAATCCAGTGTGATAGCTTTGTGACAAACTCGGCTTACACGGGTGGATGGATGGGAATCTCTGTGGTGTTTGCTGCCTGTCCTTAATTTTATGCAAAATTAGTTGAGGAGGAATGCCTTTTGTGTAGATTTTATTTCCAAGATTTTTTCTTTTAGTTTCCTATACAGAGCATGTATATCCCTATTGGGATAAAAATCTCTTGTTTAAATAATTTATGTGTCAAATTCTATTAGTAGATTAGACATTCAGCTGGGCTACTGATAATAGAATCCTTGAGTAGATTTTTTCTTTACCTGTTGCTGTGGCCCCAAGATCAGTGAAGAGAATTATAAAATATATGACTATAATGTAACAAAATTAAAAAATTTAAAATGTACTTGTGTAGACTAATTCCTGTCACCTCAAAATTGGAATTTCTTCCCTACATTTTATGCATATTCACTAATGCAGTGCTGTTCATAGTTGCCATTAGTCTTCATTATTTCCCTTTGGAAAATGTACACTTTCTATCAGGTGTTGGATAAAGAGTTTTAGGAGGATTTTAGTTTTAGGAGAAGTTCTACTACCCTGTAGGTAGTAGAAATTTAGTCTAATGATGTGATTTTTCAGAATACTTTTGCAGGCAGCAGAACATAGTTTTGTAAAAAGAATATTAGATAGCTTAGAAGATTACATTATAATCCTGATTTTTTTTTTTTTTTTTCCTCCCTCCACTAACTGGCTGTAGAACTTGTGGAATTGCACTTTTTCTCTCCAGACCTTGCCTGTCAAGGGTAGGGCATGCCTGGATGAGAACCTTCAGGCAGGACTATATATGTAATTTGTGGGACCAATGTAAAATGAAAAAGTAGGGCCCCTTATTAAAAATTAATTAAGAGATAGACAGTAGAGCATTAACTGAAGCAGGAGACTTCTGAGCACAGGGCCCTGTGTGACCTTGCGGGCTTACATGTCGCTGAAGAAGCCAGCCTTACCTGGAGCTCTGGGGCCAGGTATGGGGATACATAAAAGTCTTTGGGGCCTTCATCAAAACTGTCTCTGCACAGCTTGCTTATGGTGTGAAATACATTTATAACACACCTGAGGGGAAGAGGGAATCTAGTTACCTTACATAAATCAAAATAATTTCAAAGAGCCTAAATATTTAGATAGGAATGAGCAGTACTCAGTCATGAAATCTTACAAGCAAAACTTAAAGATATAGGCTATCATTTGAAATGGTTCACAGAATGGCCTGGTTAATAATCCTTAACACATTAAGAACTTGCACTATTGACAGTAACATTCATTTTCTGTCAAGAAATAGGCAAATCACAGTTTATAAAAAAAAATTCCAAAACCCCGAAAAACCAACCCTTTTTCTGTATCCTCTAGAACTTAAGGATGGTCATCAGTTAAATTGCCCTAAATCCTGTACCTATTCTCTAAATATTCATTTCTCGTTTTTAGTCTGGCTGTTTCTGAGGTCACTTCTGCAGCTCTCAGTAGTAGAGTCTGTTCTTTCTCTCTGCCTCACCTTCGATACTGAAAACACTTGATCTAGGTGTCATCTTTGGTTTTCATTTTTGCTTTTATCTAATTATTTTCTCTTCTGAAATACTGGCATCTTTGAATGTGTCACTCATTCTATATCATCTGCTATGTCTCATTGATGCTATAATGTACTCATTTCTCAGCCATTCATCTGATTCCCTGATGATGTCAGTTTTTATCATAATAAGGGGAAAATGTTAGCTGAAATGTTTTTCATATTGTTGAAAAAAATCCCAGTTACATGCTATTTTTTGTACTACAGGTATTTATGTGTTTAAGGAAATAGACTGAAATGTTAAAACCAAATCTTGGAGTTAACTGTCTCTGTGTTATATAACATTATAGATAATTTTGATCAACTTTTTAGGACTTTATAATAGTAAAAAAATTAAGTAGCAAAAATACTTAATAATCAGAATAAAGGTAAAAGTTATTTAAAAGTGAAAACAACCTTTTCCTCCCATCTGATTACACCTATTCTATTGTAAAAAACGGCTAGACTTTTTTTCTGAAAGATTCACTCTTCATCCATTTTCTGTAATCCAGAGTAATAAGTGGAAAGCAAGAAAGTAGCAAGATGGGTTTTAGAAAATAGATTTTCCAGAAGAATGGAAATTGCGTCAAAATTAAAGAATATTTTAAGAAACTAATTTTGAGCTTTTGTGATCTGTATCCTCAGAAGAATGTGGGGAAGAGGAGACTAGAATAGAATTCTTCCTAGAAGGAAATATAACATGAGAAATTTTAGAATTCATCCCAGAAATGATGATGAATGTCGAGGAGGCATTTAAGAATATGGACAAAATATTTTTGTTCCAGTGTTATGAGGAAAGTAGAATACCAAAACAATAAGCTTGCTTTTTTTTTTTTTTTAATAAAAGAGATTAGAAGTGATTATATCAAAATATGACTTTTTTTTTCCCGAGGGGTGGGTTTATGGTTACTTTTTATTTTGCTTATACTTTTTCTTTTTGAATCCCCAGTAGGGCTGTTTGTGTCTTCCTGTTTCTCTCTCTGTTTTATAATGATGTGAATTAGTTTTATAATCTGGAAAAAGAAATTTAAAAAGATACTTTCTCTTCCAATCAGATTGAAAATAATAAGATTATAAGACTTAATTTAAGGCTGGTTTGTTTGGAAATGTTCATTTACTGAAACAGAAGAAAAGGAAGGAAAATAAGATAGCAGTGGTCTTTTTTTGGCATTGGGTAGTGTCAGACAATGACCTGCCCTGTGGGTTATCGTGAGAATGAAAGAACTACAGGTGTTTTCAGTACTGCCAGTGACAGCATAAGTGCTCAGATGTTACCTGTGGTAACATTTACAGTCTAACATTATTATAATTAGAGGATATCTTCAAATGTGCCTGGAATTTAGATTTGGAAATTGCCAGGTTCTAGCCATTTTGATTAGTGTTCAAATTTAAAAATTGTGATTTTTACTTCAATTCATAATTTACCTAAAAATGATGCATTTATTAAAAAAAATAATAGGCAAGCCTTTCCCTTCCCAGTGCAGAGATACAAACCTCTGGGTAAGTAGAACAGTGAGGGAGAAGTACTTCATGGAGGTGTCTGTAGCAGGGACAATGGGGTATTGGGGAGCACAGAGGTGGCATGGGGAAAGAGGCTTCTGGAGCGTCTGAGAGATTGGTTATGTTGAGCAGATGTGTTAATTGAACAAATAGCAAATACATTGAAGATAATGGGAGCCAGGTTTCTCCCTATCTGGGAGGAAATTCACATATTTGGAAAGGGATAGGCTAGAAGGGAACCTGAAGTATTGGAGTGGGAGTAGATTTATCAGTAGGAAGTCATGGGTTTTTAAATACATAAATAGATATATAAGTAGTAATATGTGTTTTTGTGTGTAAGTGTATGTGTATGTATGATATGTACATACATTTTCTAAGTCTGTCTGCTGAGAAGCCTGAGAAGCAATGGCAGCTCTTTATCTATGAAGACACTGTGCCCAGATTTTGGTTTCTGTAATAAATGCTGCCATCCACTTAAAAGGAACAGGGGAAGTATAAGAAGAACCTGGAGTAACCTTATTGGACTAGAAAGAAAGGAGTTGCTCAAAGAATTAAGGCAACAGGTCAAAAGACATAGAAACCAGCCTAAGAGGGCTCTTGCTGCTCAAATCTAGGACAATTTGAGCATTAACATAAATAATGGGATTATTGGAGACAACTCATTGGTTTAAATAGAAGTATGTGCATGTCATACACATATGTATATGTGTGTGTATGTATAATGCACACATAAGAAGTGAGGGTTGGAAGGAACCTTAGCAAAACAACTAAGGAGGGGAATAAAGCCAGGGTGAAATCAGTGTAAAGATGGACACGAAACCCTGGAGACATGAGAGAGAGGGGAAGAAGAGAGGGAACTAGCTATCAACTGATTTATCTTTGCTTAAAGTACATAAACAGATTTTTTTTTTTTTTAGCGCTTAGTTTGTGTTTAAAATAAACCTCTGCAGATAGATTTTCCCTTTTACAATGTACATTTATCAGACTCTCCATCCCATGAGGAAAAAAAATGTACCATTCTGTCATTTTTCTGCTCTCAGGACCCTTGACAACTCCTTTTATTGTAGGGAGGAGGGGAGGAGAAATTTCAGTGATAATTTTCTGTCTCAGTTCCTCTATAGTTTCACATCAGCAGTTTCTTGGTATTAACACAATTATTTTTCAGTGTGGATGAAAGAAATGTCCAGGAACTCGGTGGTGCTGACTCATCACAGTCACCTTGGTAATTTTGTCACTTCACCTTGCACTCGGGTTTGTGGTGTGGCCGTTTGACAGATATTGGCAAACCAAGTCCTCTGGGTTTTGGAAATGTGATTTGTCTCTTGCAGATATCAAAGACATTATTTGTAGCTGAATTTTCTCCTTCTCCTTCAGGGAGGACGTGTCATTTTCAAGCACAATTACCATGGCATGTAAACACTGACGCTCATATTTATTATTAATAGCTTGCAAAGAAGAATTAAGTGTTTTGAGATTTTGAGTACTTACAGATTGCTAGTGTAATAGTAACAACTTGAGTCAGATTGGTTGTTGCAAAGGAGATACTTCCCAGGTACATATTTTATGATCTATTTTTTTTTTTAACCTAAGATGTAATAATGTGAGACCCGAAGGCAGGAATTTTTATGGTAAATAATAGAATTATTCATGGTGTTAGAAAACTTCAAAAGTAGATGACCTCTAGTTTCTTTGGCCTTTACTCCTCTATTAGCTGTTTTACTGCTACCTTTTTTCTCCTTTGAACATGAATCTTCATAACTAGACACATTGGAAAGAATTGGGATATTTTTGAGAAATTTACAAAATAATTTATAGTTAACATTTAATTACAGTTACCCAGAAACTGTAAAATGTACATGAGAGAACTCATATGAGGACTTAAAATTTATGTGTGTTTTTTTAATCCATTTTAGACACGGAATCGATTTGAAGGAACAAGGTCAGAAGTGGAAGAGCTTATGAACAAAATCAGGCAGCATCCCAAGGACCACAAACGAGCAAGTCAGTTTACGGCAGAAGGCTACCTGTACGTGCAGGAAAAAAGTAAGAGGCCCTCAAGCAGTGGCTGAATGGCTGGTTAAAAATCCAAACTATTGAAAACTCGGCTATTCTTCTTATTATTGCTGTGACATTTTGGGAAATTATTTCTATTTTCTTTGCCCTCGCCTGTCCTAGAAGGCATATTTTGCGTGTTTGGAGAAAACGCATTTGTGCTCTGGAGAGGGTCCAGTGAGGTTAGGACAGGCTGTGAGCACCCTGTTCTCCAGACACACCTCGATTCTGCTCCACACTGTGCCCCCAGGAACTTGCTCGTAAGGGAGCCAGAATCCTGTGTAAGGCTAAATTAAAACTGAGTCAGAGCTACGAGGGTATTAACTTTTTCCTCCTTTCTCCCACCCCTGTCCTTCTCACCAACACACACAGACACCCTCTCCTTCTTTTTAAGATCAAGAGAGATGATCTCTCTTCTTCCTTTATACCATTTCTGTCCACAACAATCTGGGATATTTGGTTCTTGTTAAAATTATCAAGAAAATTACAGATGGCCATAAAAAATACTCCTACATGATACTCTAACTTACTTCATGGGTGTTTTAGTATTGTGGCTGTCTTAGCAATTATCTGGCGCATTGGGTGTCCCTACTTTGAAAATTTAAGGACCCATATCTCTTTCAGGCTTTGAATAATTTGGTGTTATTTTAACAGCTAAGCTCTTAAAGTTTACTCCTTCAACTGTAGAGCCCAGTTGCTAGTTAGTAGAAAGGATGAGGATGTGAAATGTTGTCTGTGTTTACTATTTTCCTCCCTTCCCACCTCAACTATAATTAGGGTGCTTTTCAATTTTCATTTTATTTGGTAATCATGGCTGATTTACAGGTTTTTCAAACTGATCGATTTAGTAATAGAGAGTACTCAGGGAACAGTTACGTGGTATCCGTGCTTTGAATTGAATGTTATATGCAGTCAGCAGGATGGTTGTACTTTTTTCATTTGCCATTATTTAATCTGGAATCTCATAGTCTTAACTTTTCATGAACATTTATATGACATGGCAGAGCTCTGAATTTTTCTCATACTTTATCTTCGTAGTCTCAGTTTTTTTAAATTGAATTTGAAAGAACTAAATTAAAATCTTGGATGGAGTCATAAGAATGTTAGAACTCTTCGTATTATATGTCCAAGTGAAAATCACAGGAAAATTTAATTTTTAGGTTCATAACTCTTGTTTAACTATTGGCTTTTAGAGAAATGGGGCTGAAACTAGACTGGGAAAAAGCAATATAAACAGTAGTGGCGAAATTCTTTTCTCATTTACTGTATGCCTGGTACTATGCTAAATTCTTCATACAACTTATCTCATTTATCCATGAAACAACTGTGTGAAGTATATGGTGCTGTTATCACCACATTTGTCAGTGCATAGGAGGCTCTGAGAGGTCAACAATGTTCCCTAGATCATACACTCACTAAATGCTTGAATTGTCAGCTTGTGAATGGAGTCTGTGTTGGTGCCGCCTCCCCCCCCCCCCCAGTGGCGGAACTGGGCAGGTGTGCAAAAGCATAGTTAGCCTCTGTGCTCAGAGCTGGTTGAGTAGGATCTGGTGGGTGTAAGGAGGTGATGGCGGCTTAATTAGTGGAAAGACCTTAATATTTGGGGCCATACTCTGAGGTTTGGCTTTGTCATTTCTCAGGGATTTGGTCTAAGCTTAAGTTTCCTTAGGTTAAAAGGATAATATACCATCCCTTCCTTGACATTTTTTTCTCAGTGTTAAATGAAACATCTTTGCAATATTTTTGTGAACCCTAGAACACAGGACAAATGCTAGTTATTTGTAACACACACACCAGTGGTTCCCAAATTCAAGTTTTTGGACTAACCATGATCTGAGATAAAATTTACTGTGGTCTAGTAACCCCTTTCATCTCTTTGCCCCCTCCCAAGTAATGTGGTTGGCTTTTCTTAAAGCCAAATGCATTCCTTTTAAATGAGTTCTCCTCCTTTTTCTCTCCTGAGTTTGTCCTTTGTTGATTTTTTTAGGTATAGAAGGTTTATTTGTATACAAAATTATAGTGATAGTAGGCCAGGCATGGTAGCTCATGCCTGTAATTCTAGCACTCTGGCTGGCTGAGGCAAGAGGATTGCTTGAGGTTAGGAGTTCCAGACCAGCCTGAGCAAGAGTGAGATCCGTCTGTACATAATACAGAAAAAAAATTATCTGGGCGTCATAGCATGTGCCTGTAGTCTCAGCTACTCTGGAGGCTGAGGCAGGAGGATTGCTTGAGCCTAGGAGTTTAAGGTTGCTGTGAGCTATGATGACAGATGATGCCACTGCACTCTATCCAGGATGACAGAGTGAGAGTCTCCAAAAAAAAATTACGGTGATAATAGATGCTAATTGCTTTTTTTTTTTTTTTTAATGTCTTTACTTGGTAAAAGGAAAAAAATTGTCAGCTTCTGCTAGGCCTAAACTTTGATTTGTTATGATTGGACTTTTACTGGCATGTCAAATTGCAGATGCTAGGGTACCCCTGACACAGACCACTGGTGGTACTACTGACTTGGGAAGAATTGAAAAGGGGTTCTGAGAATGTTCTAGTGCGTATAGAGACAATTTACCCCCGTTGAGTCTTATGTTTCTTATTCTTCCTACTTCATTTCTAAAGCTTAACTTTACCATAGTCAGGAAGAGCAGCTGCTTACCAGGGTACTTACTATTAATGGGCTTAACGCACTAGGTGGATTTTTAGACTAGATGCTGTTTCTCAGCACTGTGATTCTGTAATTCTATCATTTTGAGAGGATGGAATTGAATCCAAAAACATCACATATATTGGATGCAACTTTTAAGACCCTTGTGAGCTCTTAATACCTAGAAACAAACCAAAAATAGAGCTTACAAGTAAGAGACTTTCAGGTTTGAGATAACTGTTGGTTTTTCTAGTAAACTATTTAAGTCTTTAAATCACTTCTCTGTTGCTGAAAATGTCTTAAAATTTCCTCTCCAAGTATCTCCATGGGCCTTCTTACTCTCCCCAGCGTTTCCCTTTTATTAGAGTCGTATTAGTTGCTGCTTATTGGGTTTTTCCTTGTTGGTAATTGGTTTAGAGCTCTGCATATCTGCTTATTTATGAGGGAAATATAAAGTTCTGTTTTTTGTTGAAGGGCCTGCTCCATTCGGTTCCAGTTGGGTCAAACACTACTGCATGTATCGGAAAGCAGCCAAGAAGTTCAACATGATCCCATTTGAGCACAGATCTGGGGGGAAACTTGTAAGTATTCGACTCTATGTAGCATAAGAGGTAGTGTTCGAGGGTGTCATTTTATTTACTAAGGATAAATACATTTTGTTTTTAGTATGAAAATCTTTGTTTTCTTTTGTTTCTAAATCAGCCAGAAAACAGAACAGTTTTCTGTGTTTTCTGAGTTGCATGCATGAGTTTTTACAGTCGGAGTTTTTGGTAAGAGAACAGTAGAATCCTTTGATGTCACTTGCACACATGTATTCACAGCTGGAAAACATTAAAAAGTAGAGTGATCTGTCGTGAATTTCACTGTTGTTCGGTTAGACTTGCACAGTTCTCACTTAAGTATTCCCCATTTAGTTGACTACCCATCAAAGAAATAAACAGCAAAACAAAATCATGAGAGTAACAAAAGAGCAGAAGACCTCGGGGAGTTGGCTGTGTAGGAAAAGTAATCTTTATATGCCTCTTAAATAGAAGCTGCATCTCATAACAGTAATCAATGGTCTGGAGACAAAGCTTCCCACCGATATCGAACATAATTGGTAACACGTTTTAGGAAAGCAGGGTTAATTCATTGCTTGCTGGGTAGATGGGTATAGTCTTGCTGTGGAGAATACAGAATTAACCCACGTTCACTCCTATTTACATATACTTGTTCCTGAAAAATGTTTAAAGAAGCTTGCAATAAAAACATTTATGTTGTAATGAAACAGACATAGAAAGTCTGGGTCATGGATAAGAGAGTGACGTAAGGATGTCACTCTTAAAGGCTGATGGGGTTAAGGTTGAGCATCAGTCTTGAGTCAGCTTCCTGTCAGAGCTAATGCAAGTCCTAAGACATTTCTGCTTAGTGGTGACTTTCCATTTTAGCCTTGAAATAATGGAAAAATACATTTTGGAATATAAGTGATATTTTCAATAGTTATATATTTGAATGCTTATTTAACATTAGAGATCCTCATAGCCTAGAAAATATTAACATGTTTTAAAAGCGTGTACTCAGACAACTTATATTTGTTCTTTACTGAGTTACCTGTATTCCTACATTGCTTCTGTCTTTAGTTTTCTACCTCTTTTTAATGTTCTTAGAGAAGATGGTTTAGTGACATAAAATGGGACCATATTAAAAAAAATTAAGATAACTTCAGGGTGATTCACATAGAAAGACAAAAACTGCATAGATTGAGTGGTTTTAGGTTTAAGTTATCACAGTACCTGATGTAGGGCCCTTAGTGTACTTTTAGGTTGATCCATATGGAATTGTAGTTTTTATAGGTTAAAAAAAGTCACATATTGACTATGACATATGGTATAACATGCGAAATAAAAACATATTTTCACTTTTTAAACAGTACTAAAAGAGAGTAACAAATCTTCTAGCATCTGGAAGCTACTGTTAATCTACCTTTTAAAATTAACATTGGTGAGGTTTTGTTTAATATAATCAATGTATGATCTAGAAAACCTGAAGAACTGGAGAATAACAAAAAAAGATTAAAAGTTTAGATTCTAAACAGTGTTTAAATTAGTTTGAAAGAGAATAGAGAGAGGGGACTTAAAATCTTGGGCCTTGGCTTCCCACCCTTCAGTGTAGGGAGGCTCAGTGTGTATGTGCTTATACCATAGTTTTTGAGAATGTTTAAAATGATTATTTGCAGGGGGATGGAGAGGTGTTCTTTTTGAAAGAATGTACCAAAAGGCATACAGACTCCATTGACAGAAGGTTTTGTTTTGACATAGAAGCTGCTGACCGGTAAGTTACTGGAATTATTCATATAATGAAAGAGTCATTTTAAAAAAATGATTTAAAGAAAATAGAGATTAGTTGCAACTGGGATCTCCATGGCCTGAAAGTGTGTGAACTTGTTACATTTCCAGGCTATGTTTTCATTATAGGCTGTTTAGTCTTGGTCACTGTGTTTAGCTATGGTGTGATAGTTTCACCTTGCCTGAAGTTGATAGTCATTCTAACCGGTGTTGTCACTTAAAAAATAACCTTGGAGCATTTCACTGTTAGTCCCAGCCAAATAATCTGTGGCACAAGGAGAACAATGAGTGAAATGTGGCATTGGATGACAAAGCTAAAAAGGTGTGGTGGGTAGCTGTTAACGTAGGATGTTATTTTCCTGTATGGGAATTTTTAGTGTATATCGTCTATATGTGATAGAGGAGGTTAGGCAAATGCTTTCTGTTTATTCAAAGACTATTTTTTTCTTTTAGTATGACTTTCAGTTACTTAGTTATAAAAGTATCTTTGCCAGAGAGGAGGAAAGAAAAGAAAAAAGTTCATCTGTCAGTGTTACCACTTGTCTGGCATTAATTTCTATTTCTTTTCTTTTCTCTTCCTTTTTCTTTTCTTTTTTACTGCATTAACATGTCCTTACAAGTTTGTAGTTTGCAAGACATTTCTGTCGTAGACAGCTTGTAGAGTGACTTGGTGGGAGTGGGGCGGAGGGACAAGGAAGCAGGATGCCCCAGGAGTCCCGTTTCTACCACGACAACCTGCATGAAGGCCACAGTTGATGGGGCCAAGGATTTATTCTTGACTTCCGTGTATCAGATTCTCCCTCTCAGGATTTGGGAATTGCAATCAGAGACCTCCACTTGGTCTTTGCAGAGTTTATGTAATCTTAGGGCTGCGATGTGGCTGTCTTCTGTGTGAAGGGAGAAGCAGATGAAATGAGGGGGAGGCGTTGAGGTGCAAGTTCTACGAGGGGGAGGCGGCAAGTGCAAAAGCCCACGGGCAGGAACATGCGAGGTGTTTCCACAGGGCAGAGAGCAGGCCAGCCAGAGTGGAGTCGGTAGGAGATGGGCCTGGGCGGATCCTGCCAAGCCTGGTCCATGTGCAAGGGTGAGCATAGATTCTAAGCAGCCAGAGGAAACCATTAATTAAGCAGGAAATTGACAAGATCAAATCTCCTTTTCTGAGAGGTTGGCTCTGAGTGCTGGCGGACCTGACTTGGACACGGCAGGGGGACGGTGGGCCTTGCCTTGGCAGAGGTGGTGGTGCTGGGTTAGGTGGGCCACGGAGGGCAGGAGCAAAGAGGAGCACTGCCACTTGTCCCTCTGAGCCACAGTTCTCTACAACGTGGGATTGAAGGTTCCTGCTCACCTCTTAGGGATGATGAAGGTTAAAGGAAGTGACACATGACAAAATTTGATACAGAGTAAGTTCTCATTAAGTGGCAGTCGTCGTCGTTGTTATTCCCCTAATAATATAAAAGAGCCCTCGCCAAGCTTATATTCTAGTGTGGGAAATAGACAAAACAAATGAAGTGCTAGGATTGAGAGAGGCGATAGGGGGCGCTGTGGGGAGACGCTTGTCTCCCTTTGAAAAAGAGCAATACCTGGATTTGAGGAACTCCACTCTGCTTTCTGTCCTACTCATCATCCCTCTGTCTGAAATCTCTCTGTGTCCTGTCTGGCATTAACTTCTATGTCTTCCACTAGCATTTAGGAAAATAATGGTACTCATTGAATATTTGTTTTTTAATGGGGCAGTGATTCCTTCCTGGCCCTGGTTTTGGCAATGATGTTTTTTTTTTTTTTTTAATTGTTTTTGGCAACCATGGTTGCCAAAACCATTGTTTTTGGATAAAGCTATTTGGTGTGTGTATAATAAAAGCTTTTAGTAGGAGATTTTTTTGAAGCAAAAATTTCTGTTCAGGTGAGCTTAGATGAGATAGCCAACTCTCTGGGGGTAGTGTGGAAGGGGCAGGTCTGTGCTTTTCAACAAATGAATGAAGATCAGATACTATACATAAAAATGTGTCCTTAAGCACATGATAAATTTGGCACTACCATGAAAAGGACTAGTAGTTAAATAAGCATTTGCCAAGGTTGGGAAAGATGAAAGAGATTGTCAGTATAAAAGAAGTTAAATTTCAAGCCAATAAGAAATTGTTCCAGACATTAAGAGAATTCATCTGTGCCATACAAATTGAGCATACGTATGGGTGCATACACTCATGGATAGCATTTGAGTCCTTTCTCAGTGCCAGTCTTCTAAATGCTTGCATGTTTTAGCCTGTTTATTCCTCACCACGGCTCTGTCAAATAGATACTATCCTTTCCATTTTATTATGAGGGACTGAGGCACAGAGTGGTTGAGCAGTTCCCCTCAGGTCACATAGCTAGTGAGTGGGATCGCTGAGATTTGAACCCCTGCTTTCTGCCTGCAGAGCCTGACCCCATAACCACTACGCTATAGGCCTCAGCAGATTACTGTATGATTAGGATGTTTCCTAAATAATTGAGTCAGCAGTGTTGTCTACTAGAAAATGTGGCAAATGAAGTGAATCCAATTTGATTTGAAAACAGGCTACTTGTAATATTTTTGTATGTTGTTTTAATGCAATTTGTATTTTTTGCCTGACCCCATATTTTCTCTGAGACCTTGATTATACCCCCAATTTTTTTTTTTTGTCAGCCTTGATCCTTACTATGATTTTAACCACTCTCCACCCCTCACAAAGACAGATGAAGGATTCCTCTGTTTTCACATATAAGGATGATGACTTACAGGGAAACTTGGAATTGGGGACGACCTTAAGAGTGATCTATGCTAGTGGTTTCCAGCTGCTTTATAGGGACACCCTCCTTTCAAATGAAATTTTACACTTATGCATATATAAAACAAAAAAGAGGGTTCCCTTATAAAATATGGGTAGGGGGCCTAGATCCCCACCCTTTTAGCTTCCCTTTTTTTTCTTGCAGAAATCCTCTGATTTACTTCTGCTGAGACCCAGAGCCTCCTTTCCCAGAACTCCTGGTAGGCCACCTACTCTAGTCTAGATGGTTAGAGAAAGGCACACGGAGGATCTGACATCTAAGTTGATAACTGAAGGATTATTTGGAGTCAGCTGGGACTGAGGCTCATAGGCCGGGCACAGTGAGTGTCACATGTGGAGGCCTGGAGACAAGAGAGGCCATGATCCATTTGGGGTTCCCCACGGGCAGTCGGCATCGCTGGAGCAAAGGGCCAGGGAGAGGAGGTTTCAGATAGGGCATGGCCTGAACTTGAGGTTTTTGAGCTTAACCCATTAAATGGTTTTGAGCAGGACAGTGCATGACATTTATATTTGCGCTTTTCAAAGCTCAGTCTGGCAGGATAGAGAAAGATTTGGAGGATGCAAGAGTGGAAAGAAGTGAGTAGTTTAAGGAGAGGATGAGAGGGCAGTGGAGGCTAGTGGGTCCATTTGAAGGAGACTTTCTCAGGGATAAACTGGGTGTTGAAATGTAGGGTGAAGGAGGGGAAGATTTCTGGCTTGAGTTAACTAAATGGTGTCATTTACTAAGATGGGAACAAAGGAGAAATAAGAATGGGGGAAGATGGTAAATTCAGGTCATGTTGAGTTAGTTACATTGCTGTGGATAATTGAGAAAAAAAAACAACAGTAGGAAATTGGGGCCAGTGCTTGTCAGCTACAGCAGCATTTGATTTGGTGTTCACCTTCGACCTCCTGAAACTCTCCATCCTTTGACATCCATGATGGTGAACTGTTCTGGTTCTCCTCAAATTTCTCGGTCCTCCCCAGTTCAGCCATTGCTTCTTAAACATTTTCCTTTCCTGTGGTTGTCTTTTCTCTCTGTATCTGGCCATTTTCATGCTTTTGCTCTTGAAGTACATCTCTCTACAACATGTATTTCTCTTACCTTTCTCTCTGTTTTGAACTGCTTCTAGAATCTTTAGCTTCTTATATGGTTCAGGTTAAGCATCCTTAATCTGAACATTTGGATTCTGAATGCTCCAAAATCCAAAACTTCTTGAGCACCAACGTGATGCCACAAGTGGAAAATTCCACACTTGACCTCATGTGATGGATTGCAGTCAAAACTTTATTTCACGTACAAAATTGTTATTATTAATATTATTTTCAGAGATGAGGTCTCTGTCACCCAGGCTGGAGTGCAGTGGTGCCATGATAGCTCACGGGAGCCTTAAACTCCTGGGCTCAAGCAATCCTCTGCCTCAGCCTCCTGAGTAGCTGTGACTACAGGAGTGCACCACCACGCCTGGATAATTTTTTTTTTTTCATTTTTTGTAGAGATGGGATCTTGCTATGTTGCCCAGGGTGATCTCAAACTCCTGGCCTCAAGTGATCCTCCCACCTCAGCCTCCCAAAGTGTCAGAATTACAGGCATGAGCCACTATGCCTGGCTCACATACAAAACTATTAAACGTATTGTATAAAATTACCATTAGGCCATGTGTATAAGGTGTATATAAAACAAAAATCAATTTCATATTTCGATTTAGCTCTCATCCCCAAGATATCTTATTATGTGTATACAAATATTCCAAAATATGAAGAATCCCAAAATCTAGAATAGTTCTGGTCCCATGCATTTTAGATGAGGGGTACTCAACCTGTAAATCTCCAGTTCTACTTTTTATAATTCTTGGTAATTTCAGTATCACTTCAGATGATGCTTTCAGCACTCTGCTTATTGCCTCCTTGAACCCCTGTCCTTCAGTGATCTAGTTCTTTATCACACCATAGTCATTCCCTCCTATGATCATTCTTAGACCTTGTCATTAGAAGCTAAAGTCCCTTGGGGATCTTGATTGGAAACCTTTCTCTTTCTGACACCACCTTCTGTCCTTCCCTGCTGACTCTTTCCTAATAAGAACCTCCTAGATCTCTCAGTGAAGACCTGTAATCAGTTGATCCTACAGTGCCTCAGGTGCCTTGTGCCCTTCCTTCCTTAACTAGTTTAAATTTCATAGTCATCATAGTTGGTCCCTTTTTA